ATATGTACATATTAAAAATGTATTAGTTGACTTGTGTGTTTGAGGTGGTAGTAACTTCAGGCTTCTGCAGATGGCATTGCACAAGGATGATTGGGCTATAAATACCTGCGGGGTGTGCAACAGGATTCATAGATTGAGAAGAGGTGGTACAGTGCAGTGACTGTCTCATTTGATGTGTGGAAAATGGGTTGTAAAGCAGATGTTAATGATTAGCAAAAAATGAATGATTGCGCTTGAGTGTGCCAAAGGCCACAGTGCGAAGGAAGCATGTCACCTACATCCAGAAACTTGTCCAGCTCATACCAAATCGAATCACAGCCGTTATTTGTGTTCATGGAGGTATTACACGCTATTAGGTACGTTTCAGTCACGTGACTTTTTTGTGTTGGGCGAGCTTATATGTCAATATATTGGCATGTATTTAAATGCTATAAAATTGCACAAGACCCTGTCTAAAGAGGGGGTGGAACCCCTGTCTCCCACATGAGGAGCATGAATATTAACCACTACACTCCAGATATAACGAATAAAATGATTTTAAAACACTGGTAAACTAAGAATTGATTATAGCCTAATCTTTACTTAATAGCATCAATAAAAATTTTGATTACCCTGGATTACAAAGCTTGACTTTGAAGGCAGCAAATGAATGTATATTTCTTAGTTTGAAACAGATTATGACACATACTCACATATGATGCACATATATTTTGTATATGAAAAAATGTATGCATATTCATTTTTCTACATTTGGAACTTTGGTGCTAAGATATCACATATACTGGGATTTATTGCACATAAACCAGCTGGCCACCTTAGGATCTCTTTGTGTTTACACTCTTTTATCAGCTCCACTTACCATAAAGGTGCACTTTGTAGTTCTACAGTTACAGGCTGTAGTCCACCTGTTTCTCTGCATACTTTGTTAGCCCCCTTTTGCCCTGTTCTTCAGGGGCCAGGACCTACACAGGACCACCACAGAGCAGGTATTATTTGGCAAGTGGATCGTTCTCAGTGATTATTAGTGGTGGCCTGTTCGGGTGTGTTGTGCTGGTACGAGTGGATCAGACACAGCAGTGCAGCTGGAGATTTCAAACACTGTTCACTGTGCACTATATCAGACACTTCTGCCTCATTGATAGAGTATGCAGAGAAACAGAAGGACTACAGTGTGTAATTGTAGAACTACAAAGTGAACCTATACTGTATTTGGAGCTGCTAAAATTGGTAAAGAATATAGATACAAGAAGATGTACTTAATGAAGTGGCTGGTTGGTTATTATGTTAAAAACAAAATTAATGAAAATGAAAATGACGAAAAAGGAGATAAAGGGCTGTTTTGATACGCATTTACAGGGGTCTCCCTCTCAAAGCACAAAATTCTGGGTGAAGATTATTAAATTAAACCAACTACTCTGTTTTACTAAGGCTAGTAAATACTGACTTGATGATTATGCGTATTATTTAATACCTGTGAAAAGCTTTTTTTTTTCATCCAACAAAAAAAAAATTACTCAATGTTATGATTTATATTCTGAAAATAATTGTACTTTCTCAAAGAGTAATGACTCATTATTTTCATACACTAAGTCAAAATCTCAACAGGTCATTGTTTTAACACAATATTTATATAATATATATAATTTTGTCATTATTTTTGAGAGAAAAAAAATGCTCGACATAAAAAGTCAAAACATAAACACACTTTAGCCAGAGAATGAAAGGGAAGAAGGCAAAACAATTACAAACAAACAACTATTTCTTTTTGCCTACTTGACAGAACAGACTTCCATACAACAAGGATGTGAGCAAAACAAGGGTTTGTATTGCACTGGTCGTATGTTAAACACAGTATTGCGCCTCTGCTCCTCTGTATGAAAAAAAGACAATCTGCTAAATTGGCCACCCCCACAAGCACAGATTGTCTGTAGAGCGACAGTAATTAGCGCCTCTTTTAGCAAATCCTCCCCATACAGTGTATTTAAATTTGTTTGTGTAAGAAAATGACTTGGCTGTGTTAATTATGCCTTCACCTAGTGCTGTGGTCTTATTTTGGCAACCAGATTTTGACTAAAGAAAATAAAGGCAAAGTGAATGTTGCCGTTTCTTTTTTTACTTCTGCATTGATACCATATTACAGAGCAAAAACCATGAAACATATTGTATCATTACACCTCCACTCTAGTCACTCTGTCACTGTGGTTTCTGACAGGTTTGTCGCAGTGTGGAGTGACTTCTGTTACTGATCCTACTGAAACTAAACATGTTTTCTAGACAGATATTGACTCTTTGTAGGGGTAGAGTACAGCCTGCTAGCTTGCTGAAGTCCATCTGTAGATATTTGCCTTGCAGCTGTTTAGTCTGTACGTACTGTGGGTAAATTAAGCAGAGATTCAGTACAGTAGTTTACACAAAATACTTTCTATATCTTGTTTACTTGGTATTCAGAAGAGCAGAGAGCACTGATTGTAAGTCTGATAAAATCAAGCACAAAACTCAAGGTTGTAAACCATGCAAATTTAGCTCAGAACACATTCCACATATATACATATACACACACATGCACACCTCTCTCTCTCTCTCTCTCTCTCTCTCTCTCTCTCTCTCTCTCTCTATATATATATATATATATATATATATGGAGAGAGAGGTTTTGTTCCTACAGCAGTGATATATATCTGAAAATGAGTCACACATCCTACAAACTTAAATATGTCAATTTTCTGCAAATATTAGAGCACAAACTTGATTTATTTGCTGAGTGTAGCATAGTGGAAAAAAAATAAAACATAAAATAGAAAACATGCCATACATTTTTCACCGCCTACGTTTTATATATAATTTATTTTGCCAAAAATTTAAATCATGCAAGGGTACTGCATAAGTACAAACAAAAAAGTGTGATATCATTTGTGCTTAATAATTTCATAAGAAATAGAGATCTTATGAATAACATTCTGAAAATGTGGACGATGAGAACGAGACCTTTAATAAGAAACAAGTAGAAACGATTTAGCCCACGGAAATGATGATTGATTACTTTGAATGATTACCTTTATTTAACACTAATAAATGCAAACATGCGAACAGTAAAATGAGGCTGTTTTATCAATTCCAGAAGATGCTGTATGTTAAGCATTCTTCAAAATTATGTAATATTAACTATACTATATACTCTATCATAAGATATCATGGTAATATTTCAGGTAAGAATATTACAGTATCCAGGGGAGGTGCATTAAGAATTGACCATTACCCATTACTCTTCATTATGTAAACATCATCTACAGTATATTTCCAGCAGTTTGTAGACAACTGCTCATCCAATGCTACCTCTGAAATCAAGGGTATTAATAGAGAGTTTGTCCCCCTTTGCTGCAGTAACAGCCTCTACTCTTCTGGTATGGATTTAAACTAGATGTTGGAACAATGCTGTGAATTGACCATTTGCAAAATAATGACTGACATGCCTCTCAGCCAATCAGAATTGACCCTAAGCGCTCCTTCACTCTGTCAAGAGAAGGAAAAAACGTGCCTCGGAACAGAGCTGCAGTGAGAATGGTGGTGGCAGTAAATCAGTTAGAATTATGCGAGTTGCATAATTTAAAGTGCCCTGCAACTAATTTGAAACTGAAACTGTTGTGGGTAACTCAACTTCGTGAAACAAGTTTAATGAAGCCACCAACCCAAACGCCCACATGGCGTGATCATGTTGCATTACATACTTTCAAACCATTGATTTCACTGGATTGGTGGACAAGAAAATGAAACAGAAGATTTGCTGATATGTAAATTATATGTAAATCACACATATATGTAAATTATATGTAAAACTGGTGGAGTAATCAAATCTGTGCAATTTTATTTTTTAATTGCTTTGGGTAAAGTTGCACAGAAGTTATATTGCAGATGACTCAACATGCAACTAGTTGCATGAAAGTTTCACCACGTAAAGCCAGCTAACACTGGCTTAATCATTAGAGGAGCTAATGATAAAGTCAATGTTAGTAAAGAGGCAGATTTCTTAACTGTAATCTGCTCCTTATTAGATGTGAAAATCTGACACTTTAGCATCCTGTCGCTAAAGGATTCTCTGGTTTGCTAAACGTGAAAGAGGTTTCTAGAATCCTTATTTAAAATGGTCTATATTCACATCTATTCTTAAATATGTAGGTCTGTATGGAACACATTGTAAAGCCAGATTATTTCTGAATAAATAATCTAAAATAAAATAATTTTTTTTTGTGCTACTAAACTTTTAATCTGCTTGTATAAATGCTATGGATGCTAGCCTGAGCTGAACGTTTGATAGACACAACAACAGTAGGCAACAGGAGGCAAGTCAGAATTGCAAATGGTCAACCAACTGGATACTTCTGGACATATAGTGTACATATGCTCATACAATATTGAATAACTTGTAGATGCATGCTGAAGAAATAATACATGAACTCATGAGAAAATGTAAACAATACAGAGAATAAAATACATAAATATGTAGACAGCATTATGCTTGCTGTTGAGCCCCCAGTGTTGTGAATGAGACACATCCATAAAAAGACATTCACAGAAAGAGCATAACTGGTACAAACAGTCTTTTCCATTCTATTAATTTAGCTATTGATTACATTTGTAGGCAGGTACTCCTTAATCTGCACCCCAGTGCAGCTGAAAAGTAAGCCTCCCAGATTTGTTCCGAAAAGCACCCAAGCCATGTGTTGTAGTGTGAAGTGGTGGAGTGTTAAAATCAGGGTCTAGGATTTTCTGACTGATCGACTGCAGGCTCTCAGTCACGTCTCACAGCCATGCATGCCTGGACAGAGCAGCCGGAGGCAAACTGAGCCGAAACGAGGAGGGGAGCACCATCCTTTTCAAATCTTTTGCACATTTTTTACATAAGAAGTTATTCACTCACCCTTATTTATTAATTTAGCAATTTTTTGCCCCCCTAATTTGTTTCCTTTGATAAAATTTGTGAAATTTTGTTGTTTTTTGGGGGGTTTTTTTTGGATGCTAGTTATGATAAGGGTGGGGCTTAGTCTAAGGGTATGTTACTGAGCTGGTATAGCCAGGAAAATTCCATAACCGTGATGTCTCCGTTTGTTCTAAGTTCTGGGCGGCAGCCGCCAGAAGACTGTCTGGATTCATCAATGAGCAGAAATCTCTGTGGGAAATAAGAGAAAATGACAGCCTTTAGAATTGACAGACAGGACACCAGACTTCAGATTACTGTTAAGTGCAAAAATGAAAGAAAATGATGGAGTTCAGAAGTGACAGACAGAATGACAGACTTCAGCCCTGAGAACGTGAGCTGAGTTCGCCAGTCACATGTTCTTCAGCTCCAGATAACAGGGCATTTTGCCATTATGACAATGAATCATAAACAGAGGCTTGAAGTCCTAAAGGTACAGTGATTTCACAGTGACTAAATGGAGACCCTGCTGCTTGAATTACTGAAAAAAAGGCATTGGAGGAATCTTGTCTCCTTCAGATTCACATACTGAGCTCCATAAGAAGAAGCCCACAGCCAGCAGTCTGACTATATGCTTTATTTGTGATTGTGTTGATTTGACTGTCGTTGTAAACTGGAGTTTCTCGTCTCTGGTCCTGTCGTCCATCTGCTCTGCAGTTAGTGAAACTTTTAGATAGTTGCAGGTTGCGAATTGCATAAAACATAGCTGGACAGTTATATAATGTAAATGTACATAACTGGAGAGAAACATAACTTGACAGGTGTGCAAAGCAATTAAAAAATAGCCAAAGTCTTATGCAACACATTTGAATATTGCACTGGTTAGCAACTATAGTAGTTAGTATTTTTCATTTATCACATTGTTCTGGTAGCCTCTTTCTGCCAGCAGAATGGAAATCAACTTTATATTTTTAATCTTGTTAGACAAATTCCTTTCCCCCATAATTCTGTTTTCAGATTAACTAGGACAGTGTTGCCTCTCTGTCTCTGTGAAATGTTTGACTCTGTAGTCCAGATGGGCTGCATTTCTAGACTGCAAAGAGTGGAAATTGAGAGTGTTGACCAGCTTTTAGCTGCAGGACAGCATTTAATTACAAATTAATAGTTTTGTCCACCACATATTACATCATTCACATCAATGTTTTGCTTGCCAGTTTATCATTTACATCAACATTTTTTCTCCACTAAATCTTCTGTGACAGCTCTGTTCCAATGATAACTGATCATCTTCACATTGAATTATCAGTCTATTTAGGCTTCAGCAGAGCTCAGTAACAGATTAACAACTGACCACATTGATTTCTCAGTCTACTCAGGCTTTAGTAGAGCACAGTAACAGCTCAATTACTGATCATGTTGATTTATCAATCTATTCAGGCTTTAGCAGAGCTCAGTAACGCTAAGATTAACAACTGACTCATCACATGAATTTATCAATTTACTCAGACTTTAGCAGAGCTCAGTAACACTGAGATTAACTGACTCATCACATGAATTTATCAATTTACTCAGACTTTAGCAGAGCTCAATAACACTGAGATTAACTGACTCATCACATGAATTTATCAATTTACTCAGACTTTAGCAGAGCTCAGTAACACTGAGATTAACTGACTCATCACATGAATTTATCAATTTACTCAGACTTTAGCAGAGCTCAATAACACTGAGATTAACAACTGACACATCACATTAATTTGGCAGTCTACTCAGACTTTAGTAGAGCTCAGTAACACTGATATTAATGATTGATCATCCCACTGATTTATCAGTCTACTCAGGCTTTAGCAGAGCTCAGCAACTCAGTAACTAAAACATTTTTCAATTTTTTTTAACCATTAATGGCTGAGGTATACATACAAAGCATTGTAAGGTAAAATATTCCCTGCTTTTTTATATATAAATTTTGCACTATTTTACCATTATCAACATTACAAACAAAACTCAGAATACAGATTCTTTTGGATAGTAAACAAAATTGCTATATTTGCGTTGTGGACATCACAATGGCTGGTTCCTATCACCAGCACTGTAATGACATCTGAGTCAATAATTTTCCCTACAATGATCCATTTCACATCCAGCCACTCTGAATGACGTTGTTTATGTCTCAAGGACTAAATAATGTAGACATTTTGAACAATTTGGTGGAATTCACCTTTAAAGTGTGTGTTGTCAGTGGATGGTGAGGTTTACCTCACAGATGAATCCAAAGCTGATGTTTTTTATATGCTGGTTTTGGAAATGAATTGATAACAACCCTCTCAGAGTATCAGATGTATTTTATATGTCTCTGCAGCCACGTCTTTTGACCATATCTTGAACTTCAAATGAAATATTCACGACAAACACTGGAGCTACTTCACTCAGACTACCTCTGCGTGACATGAGCAACGCAGCAGTGTGTGCTACAGCTTTCACGCACTGCCCATTCACACATACAGCTTTTGCCCTGTGGACTGAGGCAGCATTCACGCTGTCACAGTGTCACTTTTCCTGTGTGTCTCATTCCCTTTAAATGGAGCCATTGTTTGCTGCTCGCGCTGCCTGCATGAACGCTCTGACCTAATAACATGGACAGTCCATGTTGCTCACACGACATAGAGGTGAGGCTGAGTGTGGGAACTGCATTTAAAAATGCAGATGCTATTATGCATATATAACATAAGAAGCCAAGGCAATTCACAGCCCCCACCAGAGCCTGTGCCCATATGCAAGTGCAATACCAGAAGCTACACCACTGTTTTGGACAGTTTATGCCTGTATTTATTGTGTGCCTGCCTGCTGCTGTTTTACAGTAAACGCTGCAGTGTGTCATGGAGTTGCTATATCTCTTTCCTCACTCAACACATGTCTGTAGTGAGAAGAAATGACAAAGCTGACAGTTTGACTTTGACAAGAGCTGTGAAAGTACAAAACTGTGCAGTGCAGTTGAGCTGCAGGACTGGAGTTGGAATGAAGTGTAAAAGGCATCAGGTTTCTCCGCAACTCCGATCTGGAGGGCTCACACAAACCTGATTCAACTTAGAAGTTAAAGTCAATGTGAATTAGGAATCTAGTGAATTAGAATTAGAATTTTAAGGTGCTTTCCATCAGAATGTAATGACTTTAATGTCATTACATTCTGATGGAATGAAAACAAGAATTGTCTTTTAAATAATATATGTTGTGCTTAATATAATAATGGACATGATTATATGAGCTAACAAGATGGAAAAAAAAGTTTGATTTCAGGTTAATTTTGATGATCAGGTTTAGTTAGCATGGGCAAAAATCACCAAACAGTGCTGGAACAGAACTGGACATCCCAGTACTAAACTTAAATCTTCAACACACACTGGTCGCTACAGTTGCTGAACAGATCTAAACCTGCAGAAGGTGGGGTTAATGGATATGAGTCACTGCTTCTAAAAACCTTTTAACAGGCTCGTGAGGTCAATACTACTGTAAAGTATTGTAAGAATCATAGAGCAGTGGTTGCCAATCCTGGCCCTGTATCATTTTCTCTGCTCTAACACACCTAATTAACAGCTGAAGTTGGGTGTCAGAGCAGAGAAAACATTCATTTTCACTGTCGTAAAAACTTTTCATCTTTTTTTTTAATGTGAGCTAATGTAATGAGTGCAGGTGTTATTATCTGCGTGCCATTATTTTTTTCAATACAGCAGGGTTGTGAGATATGCACTGTGAATTGAGTATGGTAAGTTTTTATGCAGTTTTTTCACAGTAATGTTGGTAGAATATATTTTGATGGATGATCTACAAAACTGGAAATAGAAATAGATTTTTGAATTTAAAGGTGAGCAAATAAGTGTACATTTTTAAAATTATTTTATTGGGTTTAAATGCTATTTTTTGGCAGTTGCATATGATTTTTTATACGAAGTCTGCAGCTGTGCTATCTGTTTTCTCTCGGCAGGGGCAGCTTTGTGGAAAAGTGTGATTTTGTTTTGCAACAAGGGGTTTTATCCCTCCTCTTTCACCACTCATTGTTTGCTCATGGATCAACAAAGAGTCACAACATTTCACACTGAGAGTGAACAGTGTCCTAGTTAATCTGATATCAGAATTATGAGGAAAATGTTTAATTTGATTAAGCAGCTTAGATAATGTGTGTTTGTGTGTTTTTTTATTTTTTTTTATAATACCCTAGTCAATTTCTAGTTTAATGGCAGAATGGCCACTAGGGGGACAGAAGCTGCAATAATATTGGCGATGTTAGACATTCTGACATGAATTTGAATAGTTCTGACTATTTTATTAAAAATGCTTGCAATATTCCTAAAAGACACAATCAAAAAAAAAATCCTGGGCAACACGTTATTAGGATAGCCCACATAGATGCTTTGTAGATGCTTAGTTCCCTTTCAAATTACATTCAACTACTTATATATTTAATTGACCATAATTTTCTTTAACTCTAAACCTGGCTCTAATCCTAACCTTAACCTCAACCCAAAGCCCAACCCTCACCTTGGGCTAAATCCTAACCCTAACACCACCACTGTTTAGAATCAATCAGAGTTTCAACAGATAGTTTGTTAACAATTTGAACATCTGTGGATAATCTATAGGGGACTGTAGCGGACTATCCAAATAAAGTGAGACCAAATCCAGTTCTGCATTTGAAATTATTTATCTTTTAAGAAAATTATGTGTTAACAATAGTTACACCTGCTGTCTTGTTTTGGCGTTTGAACGTTGACTGAAAATATAAAAGCAAAATTAATATTGGATTTTTTTTCCATTTACTGTATTGAAAATGTACTGTATTGTGGTGTTAAAACCACAATAATCCAAGTAACTTTTTGGACCATTTCTATTTGTCCATTTGTCATGATATTGTCACACAATTTGAGGAGCACCTGGTGTTGCAAATGTATAAAAATAAAATAATAAACAAAAAAAAATTGTGTTATGATGTTATTTCGAAGCAACAGTTTGCAGGCCAGGTGTCCTCCAGGACCAGAACTGGGAATGACCATCACAAATGACCCCCTGTTTCTGAACTTACATGTCCACATGCGGATGCACATGCCACACATGGCGATTACATTGGCGATGCTGAGAGCGCGACCACACTCTGGGCTCATCAGGCAGTTCTTGGTCTTCATGCAGCACTGCATGCAGCAGTTGGGCCCGGAATCTGAGCGCTTCTTATCAGCAGACTGGCTCGCGGCCACGTTGCTCGTGTGCTGCTGCCTAACGACATCGGGGTAGCCCTGCTTCATATAATCCTCCTCCATGGCCAGCGTCCCAGCTCCGGCCTGCGGGAGAGTGTGAAGGAGACAGGGGGTGACAGACGGACTCATGGGTAAAGAGAGCCAATCAATGCTAATTCTGTTCCGGTATCTCAGACCTTCCTTTCATTGTCATTAACTGATATGGAAATAGGTCGATGCTGTATGGATCATCGCGCCTACTATCTGCACGCTGCTGACATACACCAGTCCTTGGCAAATACCCAAAGGAAAGTTTGGATGTTGGTTCAGACCTTCAAGGGCAATTAGCTGTGTACTGATGGGCTTTAGGCACTTCCAGTTCCACCTGAAACGGCCACCATAAACTCTTAAAACTAAAAGTTCCTAAATAATTAATGGGTTGAATATGTGGATGTAGAAAATGTGGTATAGAACCTTTAGATTACGTGGAGGTTCTTTTTCCATAAGTTTTTCTTGCCAATTTAGTCATTACTAATGCCACCTGCTATTTAGGCCCTCCTTATCAAATGATGCTACCAGTCTGGAAGGGTGAAGGCTAGCATGTGCTTGTTCTAGGTCACATGACTGGACAGGTCAATACACCTGGAGGAGAATGCTAAATGTTAATTATGATGTGTCAGCTATAACAGATACCCCTGTTGGATTAGCATCGCATTGAGTGTACACTAATGTTTTGTAGGCTTGCTCATCACTCTGAGACAATAATAATGCTTCGTAACATATCACACAGTGCATTATGGGTATTCCCTATCCAATAGGTAACATAATTTGTGAACTACCTGCCTTGTACACTAAACATTCTCCTCTATGCCTTGGACACCAAAACAACACAAGTCCAAAAATAGTGCACTATATAGTGAATAGAGCATAGTTTCAGACCTAGTCATAGTTTTTGGGTGCTGTCACCTCCTCGAATGCTTTCCTCCACTTTCCATTTCATGATTCACAAGTCACAGCACACATAACCATTAAAAAACTGAGTGATACACTACAAATAGAATCACATGGCCTAGTCACCTGTCTTTCCTCTTTGGATTTGAATCATTAACTTTAGCTCTTGGCTAACAACTTTATTATCATAGCACTGCAGGGGGAGAACAGAGACACTTCCATCAGACTGTGAACATTTTTGAGATAGAAGAAAAACAATGGAACCCATGTTGGCTCCTTTGTGCCCTCTCCTAGTGCAGTAAAAGGTGAAAGCGAAGGCCAAAGGAATGGATCAAATTACCAAACAGCGGTGCACTTTCAATTTAATGTACCTTCTCTAACACACAGTTTTATGTGCTTTATTTTTCTCAAACCTTTCCCAGGCCCTGGTGCTGGTTATTCTTTTTTAAGAAACCGAATTAGCTGGAATTAAAACCTTCAATCACACTGCTGTCACCTAACCGGAGAACAGAGAACACAATAATAGCTGAGCCTCATCAAATAGTCTTTATTTACCTCACACGGTTCTGTGCTGTCTTCTTTTTCACCCTTCAAAATGTGCTCCAAATAAGCCACAAAAAGATATATACTCCTTTTTCAATGTCTTGAATTGAGATGGAGCTGTCTTCGTGTTGTCTTCGCTGTTGACAGAGCCAGTCTTCAGGGCAGTGGCCCTCTTTCACTCACAAAACAGAACCAAAAAACTTGTCTAATTTCATCTTCGGCTGTGGGTTGGTGCATTCCCGTGGGTGTGCATTCAGGTTTTTCCAGCCCGTCCCCTTCAAACAGGCACATTTCTGAGGTCCTTGCATGTCAAAGAAGCCTGTGTACTACTTCCTTTTCTTGCCTGAGTGCGCAAACGCTTTCATCATTTGTAGGTCATCCAAAGGAATTTCACAAATGCTAGGTGGAGGAATTATTTCCAAAGCATAAGTGTAATTCATTGCCAGAATGAGTCTACAGAATGTACAGCGTACAATATAAGTCAGTGATATATTACTGTGTGTATTTTATTTACAAAAGACATGAGTCTCTTCAACTCTGGAATGTGAGAAGATTCTAGATCTTCATACACTGTCAGATGTTCATAAATAAACCCAATGCGGTCACACAGTGCTGCAACCAGTGGCAACTGAGGGAGGTGAGAGATGCTCATCCATCTGGTCCGACAGCTCCCAGAAATACCGAAGCTTTCAGCTCGTCATGTCCTCAGCCATCTAAACCACCTGTCCTCCATTCAGAAAAGCATCTACAGACCAAAGAGAGGTTAAGTCATGTAAACACAAAAATATTCCTGAGTTAAAACCTCATATCTCCAAAATAATAACTTTACAGGAGAAGGAAAAAACCTACTTTACTTTTAATGCAAGTTAGTGGAACCAGACTAATTTTAAGCTGTTTCTTTTGGTCCATTCTTCATGAAATTAAATGATTGTCAAAAACTGAAAAACGTCAAAAATGGAGATACAAGGTTTTCTTCTGACAGCAGTGATATATATAGGACAAATCATTGTTTACTTGTAATGGAAATGTAACGTAACAAGATTTCTTCCAAGTAATTTTGGACCACAATGAAATTCGAACACAATGCAACCTTTTAAATTGTGCAGTGCAGAGTTGACACTAACATTCACACAATCAACTACGCAATAACACCTTAGCTAACAGCCAGGGGATGTTTCTGAGGAGATTAGATTTAAGATAATCAACTTACATAAATAAGACGAACATCAAAGGAAAATAAGTTAAATTAGGCTTATATTATGAAAATTTAAGTAGGTGGAGCTTAATGGTCCAAATTGCAAATTAGTTTGTTTCAAGCCAAAGTAATCATGAAAAAAAAATAATTTTATCTCTAAAAATTTTGGTTTAGGAGTTACAAAGCCAAATGCATTAGGCTTTGCAATAGCTCACTGTGCATCTGTGTAGTGGCATTGAGTACTAACTAATAACGAAGTTTCATGTGTCTATGACTTATGGTTTGGTCTGCCTATATTGTTGTGTGGTATTATATTGGTAATAATAATAATAATAAGCAGAAGAAGAAGAAGAAATGTCAAAGCCAGACCACATCAAAACTGTGAGTAGCAAAAAAGACATACATGAGCGATAGACTAAATAGCAAATCCAAAAACATGCAACTGTAAAAGCCAAAGATAGAAAACAAGTCAAACCAACAGTAAAAAAGGGGAATCTGAGAACAAGAAATGATAACAGGAAAAGTCATTAACATGAAAAGATCAATCAAGAAAAGAACACTCGATAGGCAGCTGACACGGACAGTGTTACAAACAGACAGGTCTATATAGCAGATAGGAAATAAATATGAGTTGCCCTGGATCTGGGTATGTGTCCTTGATTGGTTAAGTCTGTGACATGAGTGTCCAGAGAATTATAGGGTGGTAGTGAGTGGAATTGATGGAGGCAGAGGGGAGACCTGGAAGTTTGACACCTCACTGCATGCCTGATTTCATTTAGTGAAGGGCTGATTGACAAACTAGCAAACTAGTTTTTGGACGGTAGCTGTAAATATTGAGCCTTCTCGAGGAGAGCTTTGGAAACAGTTATGCTACCAAACATTAAATCCAATGAATTGTTTATTTGTTTACTTGTATCATACTAATGTTTGTTCTTATCGACTGAACGAAACATTTACTGCCCAAATTAATAGCTGTACAAGTTTTTGATGTGTGTGTGAGTCTCTATCTGCCCATTTCGTCTCTTAGACCCCCCCCCCTTTTTCATACACACACACACATACATTGTGGTCCCCACAAGGAAGAAAGGTCTCCTCAACATGAGTATATAAACAAGTTTTGGTCCCCACAACGTGGCGTAAACATGGCACATGGCACACACACTTGTGTGCATGTGTGTGTGTAATATTTATGTCTGTGTCTGTGTGTGTGTGTGAGAAGGAAATCTTAGAGAATTTAAGCTGCACTAGCCTGAAAGCAGCTGTTGCAAACTGATCGCACAGAGGCCCATGCACTTAAAGGTTGAACTGAGGACAGCAGTGAGTAAACTTTAACTCTAGTGCTAGTCAGCAGCAAGACGGTTACTCACTTTCTGTGCAGCGGGCTCTCTGAGGCTGTTCCGAGCTGGTGAAGGCCAGGCAGTAGTTAGCCAGCCTTGTGCACATGTACCAGAAGGTGTAGCGGCAGTCACGGGCACACGCTCCACAGAAGCCGTCCAGACATAGCTGGCAGCAGACATCACAGCAGCGGTCAGCAAACGGCCCGGCCTGAGAGCACGGGCTGGACGTCTTGCACCAGCTCAGTCCCATTGTCCCACTCCCTCTCTCCAGCACTATTGACATGGGCTACAGGCCACAGATAGTGAAAACACAGATGATTCCAACGTCATTCTTCCACAAGTGCGTCATCTGGGAAAGCCATGCTTGTTGGGCTGATTTCTTATGCTCCTGTTTGCTGTACCAAAGAACTGAAGAGAAAAGACAGGCTCTGTTTGTTTGGAGTGAGTTCTTATAGGCCTCAGGGTCGTCTACCATGCAAAGTCAATGATTAGACAGACCATCCCGTGATTAGCAGATAGCACAGTGGCTCCATGGGTGATGGCCTAATAGGTGTGAATGGTGCTTTGGAATGGGGGCACTTTCAGTTTCAGGCTGGAATTGTTTCAGAACCGAAGGTTTTATCTTATCAGAGTGACTCACAGTGCTTATTCACTCAAGTCTGTGTCAGCAGGATACTTACTGTGCTATTTCCAAATGCCATTTTCAAATAGCGCAGCAAATGGTTAACCTCTAAAGCCACAAGTGTCCATATCTGGGTCCAAACTTCAGTTCCTCTCCACTTCCTCGGCATTCACATAACCACAGAACATTCACAATAGTTTTATAAAATGAATAATTCATAGCAGTTAGCGACTAATATGTCTTAGGGTTAATGTTTTGTGCCAGCTAAGCCCTTATTTTCGATGGACAGTATTTATGAATGATCATGTCATATTATTCTTAATTTGATGGAAGAAATAAAAACAGTTTAAACTGCTCGTAACTAATACTTTGGGTGTATTTTACAAACTCATCCAAGTAGATTTTGCAGAACTAATGATTTGACCATTTTCTTTTCTCAAACTGTTATTGAAAGCACACAAATGTTTCTGCTGTGCAATAACTGCATCACTAAAGCTACTTGTTACTTTGTGCATGCACTGGCTTCTATAAGCACTGTTGCCTTTGATACACAGCACATTGCTAAGAGATACAAATCATAGTGTTACTAAGTGACCAGGATACTCTCAGTAAAATTAAACAAGGATTTTAGAACTCAAATTCTGCTCATACCAATAGCTAAAATGTAAATGTGATTTTCAAAACAAAAGTCAAAATAATTATTTGTTTTCTTGATTTTCTAACATACTCAGAACAATGTCTTATTTTCCCAAAATATAAGGGTAATGCTTCATTTGGATGGTCCACTGTAGATGCTTTGTAAATGCTCAGTCTGTTTATAAGTAACATTCAACTAAATATCTATTAAATGCAAGTGAACTACAAGTTGTGAAACTCTTTCAGTGTGAAAGAGTTTATTATATCTATCCCTACTCGTAACCCTAACCTCAAGGCTGAACTCACATCTTCTCCTAACCTTAACCCTAACCACAGTGTTGTTGTTAATCAACTGAACATTACTGGAAAGTTTGTTAATGATTTAAGTATCTGTAGAGCATCTATAGGGGACCATCCAACTAAAGTGTGACCAATATAAGTAATTACATAAAAAAATCACATACACATAAAATTAGTTATTTTTAGACTGAATAAGTAATTTAAACCTGAAACAGAGGATTAAAAACTTTTTTTTCCTATCTGACAAAAATAGGCTTCCATACTAAAGCATGTGAGCCAAACAGAGATTTATATTGTGCTGGTTATTTGTTAATGACAAATTTGTGCCTGTGTTCATTTGCGTGAAAGTTCTTAGTAGAAAACCTGCTTATTTGTCCACCCCCAGCAGCTCAAACTGTCTAGAGACTGACGGTAAATAGTGCCTCTTTTAGTAAATCTGCCCCATAAACTGCATGTAGGTTTATTAAGTGAGGGCCCATTAGAGTTTAATGGGTTAAATATTTCACATAAGCCTATGAATAGACTATGGACATTAGTCTAATACTATTTAGTAACTACTATGAATCATCCTGTAACTACCATTAACCTAATATGTAAATTATAAGAGTGAGGAACATAAGTATTGGCCAAAAAATAGCCCTTACAATGTAATTGATTAATTGTTCCACATAAGACAATTAATAAAGCACAGTAGTCAAAGGCTAGCGTCATCATCAATGTGAATGATAACATTAATTGACAAATAGGTACCACTCCCACAATTAAAGACAGAAGTCCTTGAAGGGCATTTAACCCCCACTGTGAATAGCTATTCCAGTATTGCATACTGATTGTAAATGAATTCAGTAAACGCCAATTTCTTGAAACTGAGCAAACTTTAGCTAATGTTTGCTTAGCTTACTCTGATAGCAGAGTGGTCTGCTAGTAGCTAAGTATAGCACCAACGTCTAGGGCAGGGTGTTCAAACTGGGTTTCTAATGGGCCCAGCCCTGCAGACTTTAGTATTCCTCCCTATTAAACATATCAGATTCAACTCATTAGCCAGTTAGCAAGGCATGCATGAGTTTATTTCAGACAGTTAGAAGAGGAAAATGCTAGTCTTTGCAGAGACGTGGCCTGGAAGCAGTGCAGGTCCTAGCTTTCCTGGTACCATAAGCAAAACTTGTCTTGTATAATGGCTTATCTGATAAATAACTATAAAATCTATGACATCATTCTTGCCATGGGGGCCCCCTCAGCAAGTGGAGGCCATGCACAACTTGCATAGTTTGTTTACAGGAAGAACTGGCACTGCCTGGAAGAATGACACCCTTGCTGTAGGGCAACAGTCTCTCCCAACATCATGTTTGCAACTCTTCTCTTACCACACCCCACACTTATTTCAGAAGGTGTGCACATGCACATATGTATGACACATATACAAGTCTGGAAGGGTGGAATCGGGAGTGGTTTCATAATTCCCTAGCTTTGTGTACATGCAATGAATTCATGGCAAGCCCTTAGCGGTGCTGTTTTCTGTGTTCATTGTTATGTACAGGACTATTATACATGTACAGCACAAGAGCTATATTCAAGCTGATCACATGTTCACTAGTTTCCATTCATATAAGTGGATCACGGCACTATAATCACTATATTCAGGCCACTGATGGCCACTGTGTGTGAGGAAAGAGTGGGTTGGAATGTTCTGAACGTTTTGCAAGACGATTTGAATGGTAATATCAGCAATCCACTTGAGCTAGTTCTCAGACATGCTAATGTGTTGCTCAAAGCAGAAAAAAAAGGTATCTGGGATCAATTGATAGGGAGTGATAGGTGCGACTAAGCTGATAAGATGCACTGCTTTTGCTGCGAGACGTTCCCCCGATGATGAGTCTACATGTTTACGAGCTGATAATGGCCTTTCTGCTGCTACTCAGACTTGCAAATATGAAGAGACAATCTCGATCTCACGCACACTCACAAGCAGCCAGAGAGAAACGGTGAATTGGTGGCAGTGCCTAACAATTTATTTCAGCCTTCCATCGAGATTGAGATGCGATTAAGATTTATTTTTTTTTTTTCAGTGGCTTCAATTACCGTGGTTCCAAGCAATCCACAGCATTACCATGGAGCTGCCTCCAGATCACACACAGTGGCATTGGAGTTTGTGTAAACAATAATATCACAGCCGAGTGGGCCCAACCTCATCAAATTAAGGAGTATTATGGCGATGGGAATAGATTTCGACTGATGAGGCCAAAGGCATCGTTTCTGGCTCCCAATACAGGCAGCGTGCCGCTCAAGCTATGAAGAAGAGTTTATCCCGTAAAAACTGCGAGATTTAGTGGAGCTGTCAGCAGGAGCATGGACTGAGGGTGGGTCAGGCAGGGTGAGTTATGGTAAAGAGGACAGCACCCCGCATAACGATCCGCTGTAGCATTTCATGTGGATTGGCAGCAAACCTCCAAGACACCCCTATTTCACCAAAGCCCTGCTTCGAAGGGGCTGAGCCCGATAAACCAAGCTTCTCTCAATCACTCCTGTCAAAAGAAGCAATTTCAAGATGGTTGAGTACAGGTGGTGGCTTGTGTATGTATGTGTGTGTTTGTTTTTGTACATTTTGAGGACAAAGCTGCCATGAGTTTGACCTGATGCAACATGCTGGTGGTCTTGGCAAAAAGTGCTTTATACAAAAAATATGTTTCATTTTTTAAAAAACCTATAGGGCAAAACTGTTTCTGCCATTAAGGTTGATTGTTTTGATGATTGTTCTTGTATTATCTTTTTCCTTAAGGCCCATTTAAGATGTTTATGTGAATTCATGTGCCAAAAATATAATTCATGTTTACATTACCATTTCCCAACTTGTCTGTTGTTTTTGTTACTGTTCCTTTAAGACTGATTCACTCTCAGAAAAAAAGGTATGAAACTGTCACCAGGGCGGTACTCCTCTTGTCACTGGGGTGGTACCATCAATTAGGTTATAAAAAGATACAAATACATACTTTTCACCTGGGAAACTTATTTAATGTACAAAATTGGACCTTAAAATCACTGTTGTACCTCTGAAGGTATATTTACATTGTTTGTATCTTGATGAGATATGACATTTTTCATGTACCCGCACAGAACCTTTTTTTGTTTCTAACATTGTACATGCAGATGACCTCTGTTTTGATTGGCTGCCCTTTAATGTGCCTTATTTAAAATTCAGACTGCAGACCTTATCACTTATAACTAAATTGTGAATGGGTAGGGCTAAACTGCTGTAGCCTAAACAGTCACATATTTGTAAACATGTTGACATCACAAAAGCAACGAATTTAAATTGGGCTGTTTTAATAGCTTAATTGACATGTATGGACTGAGGAGTGAATGATATGTTTTGAAACTTTAACAATATTTCCACATAGAGGTGGGCAATACAGCAGAAATATGATATTGCAATACTTCAAGAAATGTTCACAATACACAATATGTCACAGTGTCTTTTTTCAGACATCTGATGAATTGGAACTGAGAAAAAAGGGGCAATAGTGCTATATTTAAAAAGTACTATTAAAGACTGTGAGTACAACGATTTTTATTCAGTATTTGACCAGTTAAACTGGACTAATTTTGCTCTCTTTATGATGAAACATGCGGTTATTCAGTGTTCTACTGATGATGTACATAAAAAAGCATATTGTATTGTATTGCGACATAATGTATCACATTAACAATATACACTGTCATGTTGCTCAGACATATTTTCATACGACTTCAATTTATTTCTTTAAAAAAGCATGGAATGGTTGTTTTTCCATGATATGGGCCCTTTAAGGTAAAGATTCAGCTTAGGGGCTGTGAAGAGAGCCCTGTTGAGAGCCACTGTTGATTTGCATGAATACCCTTAGAATGTGAATGATTCTGCCTCCATGTGAAAACTGCTTTTTATGTATTGATACCATTTTCACCATACTTACATGAAGAAGAAATGAAACAGCAGGAAG